TAATTTTCTGGGAATATATATTATGTATACTTATATATGGCCGTGTGGTCCAGACATAGAATAGACCACCCCTTGCTTTTAGTTAGATGTCGTAAAAGGCGACTAAGGGAACTTAATACGAGTAGTAGAGGGATGGTCAATTCACTTGCTAAGCGTGGCAACTGCTAGCAAAAGTCCCCTAATGGGGAAGACTTACGTTTAGCAGTAGACAGTTAATAGCTGAAATGATGATACTTAAATATAAATGGGTATATAAATTATGAAAAAAAACTATGTTCTATAGTATTTACCAACAACAAAAACATTATTTGTGTCATTCTTACATCATGTTTATGTGCTTATAACGAACATATGGTCACTGTTTTACCTTATGGGATTAATGTGCCTATAAGGAAATTGACCTACACAGTTAGTACGTACAATAGGCATGGATCATAGTAGATGCAGGGTCATATATAAAGTGTTGAAATAATAACATCCGTTTAAATTCATATTTTGTAGCACTATTTATATTTTTCTATATTATTTATCTATTGTGTCGCTGTGTGGCTTCCTTTCCCGTGGGTGTCGTAAGAGTCGTCTAAGGGAGGACGAGGGACGGGCAGCAGCATCTCTTTAAAAACATCTGTAAATGCGCAACTGCGGTTGCCAACCCGCCTGCCAAGCGTGGCAACTACTAGCAAAACTTCTCTTATGGGGAAGACTTATGTCCAGCAGTGGACAGTTAACGGCTGAAATAATAATAATAATAAAATGTATCTACTATATATATTACGTTTTAGATACAAACCCTATAGATACTTTCTCCTTTCGGATTCACAAGGCTGACTGGTAGAAAATTTCTTTAAGGGACAAGTCACCCTGTGTACTTTGTCATTTCCATTATAACCTGCGTTAAATATGAATGTATAATGAATCTCATGCAAACAATAAAATAATACAGTTAAGTTTTAGAGGTTATTCTAGTATTTTTTATCCAACTGTCTAAGGAAAGAGGGTAGTGTTTTTCGGATACTTAGTTACGAGAAAATTTTCTTTTATATGTATACGAATATGTAGGTATGCCATCTCTGCTATACTTAGTTTAATATTATAAATATTTTCTGTTTTTTGTTGTGGTGGGTGTGAAATAGCTGCGAAAGGGCTTGTTAGAAATAGGGTCTTACAGTTCCATTGCTAGTAATATACCCTATCAGACGACATCCACGCCGTTCCCCTGGAAGCCATTGTGATTAAGTCTTGTTGAATTCACCACAACGGGTCAACTGACCTGCTTTCATCATCATCTATCATCTCTCACTGATATCCAACGTGTGTGTATGTATCTATATATGTGTATCATTCCATTTTCACCTATAAAAATAGCTACCATAAGTAGTTAGGTAGAGTTAATTCTATAAAATTTTATGGGTACAAAATTTAAATGGATATTCGAGTGTTTATCCAATTTGGCTACTTGACACACCTGTAAATTATTTGAACTGCAATAAACACTGCATGCAACAAACTCAATGTGTTAAAGAAAAACCTAAATTACACGCTTTAGCATTTAACTTCGCCTATTATAATTGTAATATTAGGGAAATAGATGCCTTGAATATAACTTACTTAAAAATATTTTGATAAATGAATATTGTTACACTTGTAGAAAACAAAAAAGAAAAACAAATTTATTTATTTATTACATCCACTGGGTGAGCCTTACAGTCTTCCAATACGCTCACCCAGGAAAGTATGAGTACAATAACGTACAAAAAGGAATATTATACAAAAATATTAAACAAAAAATAATAAAAATTATTTTTTTGTTATAATAAAATAATACAAATTATAATGGATGTAAAAAAATTATATTTTTTAAATCCATTATAATAATCGCAATGTAATTTGAGTAAAATTTAAGCAGTAGATACCTTTTCATTTTTCCTTGAGTTTCGTATATACTATACATCTATGCTTGTATATATGACGCAATATGTAGTCTAAATGGCTACATGGATTTTGATAAATGAGATATCACCAGACCGTGGGAGTGCTACATGACGATAGTACAAAATAAATGTAGCGGCCATAAATTATCAAAAAATTTGCAAAATTACACAATTAAAGGGTGTTTTTTTGACGTCTATTTATTCAAATGAAGTGTAAGAATATATTCCATCTTACTTTTAACGTATTTTCGTAGGTCTAATTGTTAATATATATAAAGTAAGTACGTAAGTACCTAGTTAGTTAACATTAAAATACAATTTCAAATATTAGTTTTTAATTCTGTCTACATTCTAGTTTTATATACAATATGAAATGTAATATATTACAAGAAGTTAAAACAATTCTAGGTTATATTTTAATAATAGTAATCAATTTGTCATATAAACTTTAATAATTTTACCTTCCTTATTAAAAGTGTAAAGTTATTTTTGTAAAAAAATATTAATAGATAAACAGGTGCGCGCAAGTTGGCAAACAGTGTCTCTATGATGTGACATGCTGCTGGACTAATTGTAAACGTATTAAAGAATATACTCCGTCAGTTATTTTTGTCTCGTTATTTGTAATGTCTTGTATTAATTATCCCCGCCTAATATATTTCTTATTAATAACGATCATATAAATATCAATTTGTTGATAATACGCATGTTATTACCTCATTTGAGATTTTAGTTTAGATGATTTACAGATGAAATAAAAATCATTTAAATCTTTTTAAGGAAACAGAACTGAAAATATTGTGTGTCCAGCAATCAGGTTATAATAGGAAGCTCTAATTTTATCGTAGTTTTATTACTCGTTTTTTTTTTTTTGAAAAAATAATTTTGTTATCATAATGAAACCCTTCCATTCCTTAAGATGAAAATTACTTCAGTTTCATCCTGTAGAATGTGATGTTTTAAAGACGATGATAAACGTAGATGGATATAAAGGGCAGGGACGTCCAAAGAAAAGATAGATGTACTCTGTGAAAGATATACGCCGAAAAACATGTGTAAGAGGCCTGCTGACCCCAAATATTATAATTGGCCAAGGCAACGAAGACGATTATCTTATTACAGCTAATTTGTTAAGATAATTTTAACTAGATTTGACATATAACTTTATATTTTTGAATAAAAATTAATAGAATTTTAGATTTCAAAAGTTCAATATAAGTACATTATAGTGTACATTAATAAGTAAGTAAGTACATTATAGTAATATAAGTACATCATAAAATTATGATTTAAAATCATTTACGAAAAGTAGAAGAAATATATTACAGCACTTCTATGAAAACTTGTCAAATTGTTCGATGAGTATAGAAGAAACGGCTAAAGAATATTTAATAAGTATATTTCATATACAATATTTAAAATAATAAATGATGGGTACTATTTTTTTTTGGGTATTCCTATAAAAACGACATTCGATAATATCTTTCGTGTAGTGAATCTAAACATCTGTTCGCACATCGTGATTTATAGACAAACTACCTATAGTTGCATATAAAGATACCTATATATAAAGATTTTTCGTAGTGTTTCTTATTCATTGCCGAATTACATTTATGGACACAACTTACTTGCCAGAGTTATGATTCAATGTTTCCTTGTTTAATTTTAATCATCTGCAGACGAATATAGAACGTTACTTGTTGAGCTGTCAGAGGAGCACGAATTTGGTCCCATCTATCATGACGACCTTAATAATATACTTATAATAGGCAAGTTGCTTGCGTAAATGAAATCCCGGCTTCAATTCCACTTCTAATTTAGTAATATTCTTATTTCATTGATTAAGGTGACTCTAGATTGGATTGATAATAATGGAAATTAGAATGTTCTATGTATTCTAATTTTGAAAACCATAGATGTTGTTTATGAATATAATTTTTTTCCTACATCGATGAAGTTATACAATATATAAGAATCAAATACTTAAAAACTAGTAATACTACGAAGTCACACGCCTTAGTTCTTCGTATTAAGAGTGTCATAGCTATTATACCGTATTTTGTAATGTCCATGGTGTTGTTTGTGTCTATGGTCGTCTGTTATCGCTTTTCATCAGTCGTCAACATGTATGCCATTCCATGTTCCATAAAAAACCTATTTAACTCTTAATTTCAATTGGTTAGTTCTTATGAGGGCAGTTGTGCATATTGTTGGTATATGCCATGAAGTTAAGCTTAAAACAACCTTTACCATATCTCTACATAATATTTTTATATTACACAAAGCCGTAGAAATGTAAATTTTTCCAATTTTATTTTATTTATTTAAAGATAGGTTAGCTCTTGATCTTACCTCATCTGGCGGTAGGTGACGATAAAACTAGGGATGGATGACAGATCTAGTATTTAGATCTTACAAACAAATTATCGATTCATGACCTATAACCAAATGAAATCCTATTTATTTGGTATACCTGTAGCATCAAAAATTTGTATACTTATACATTGTCTTTTCTGAGTAAAGAGTGGCTTACATTGACACATATAACGAGTAGTTATTTGACACCTCCAAGTCAGAATTCTCCAAAGGATGAAGTAAGTCTCAGACGCTTTCAAATTATCGCAATATAAATTTGAAAGTTTCGAAGGGTAGAGCAAGGATTTAGTCTTGGAATTCCCACATTACAGTCAAGCAATCTCACGACAATAGACAATAGTCACCACATAATGTTTACTATTACAAATTAAAAATAACGTTAAAATATAATATTTATATAATAAAACGTTATCTTTTAGCATTATCTAAAATATGGTACATTATTTGAGTACTTGTTTAAGAGACTGCATTTGTTTACTATTCTTTTAATTGGAATTTATATGAAAAACAAACATCTCTTGTATTTCTGGTACTTGGCAAGAATATTGTAAACTACGATCACTAAGTCAGCCGTTATTTAACTTAATAATTGGTTTGGTGAGGATATAAGGAATTGGTAGTGTTATGGAGATTGAATGGGGTTGTGATGAGGGCGAGGGCGAGGGCGGTGGCGGTGGCGAGGGCGGCAATATGGTGCCCCTCCACTGGGGCCGTGTGCAACTCGCGCATAGACTACGGTTGCGCGTTGCCCTCGCGCATCATTCGACCTCCGCGCACCGCAGTCTCGGCATCACCGCCCTGAACTGTATACGCGTCCGGGAGCTCGACTCTCGTAGCGACTCGACGAACAGGTCCGTGATTTTGTGTGAAAGTGCAATCCTGTCATAACATCAAACCATGTAACCGCGTGTGAATTAGCTTCTTTCAAATGCACACTATTATTAGAGATGCAACATGCTGCGTTCCAGCGTAACTTTACCTGAACACTCCAAATTAGGAGCGTAGACAAAACCGCCCACGCGTAGCGCGCTCAGTTTCCATAATGTTCACGCAATTTCCAAACGTCGTGTCAGCTTTCGGAAGGAGCTTAGCTTACTTATAGTTTGTAACACGTGCTTGTTGAGCAATAAGTGTCAGTTTGGATGCTATTGAAGTGGTGCAGGCGACTTGGATTTCGGCCAACGAACGATGCAATAACTAGAACGAATTCTGACAACGATTCAACTCTTTACCTAACAGATGGAGGATTACTTTTGTGTTGGAAATTCTGTGATAATTTTGTGAAGTTAATTACTTAATTCCATGGAATACCTACACGATACTTGCTCTGATTTGTAGTATCATCCAAGTCGCTTAAGCCTTTTAGTGAATAAAATTCAAACTAGATATACATACAATACGACAGAAGAGGTAAAAGGAATTACCTCTATTTTACTTTGTTTCAGGATAAGTTAAGCGAGCACAATGCCTTTCAAACCAGCAGATAACCCCAAGTGTCCGAAATGCGGCAAGTCCGTGTACGCAGCCGAGGAACGAGTCGCCGGCGGACTCAAATGGCACAAGATGTGCTTCAAGTGCGGTATGTACTTTTTCTCATAAAGTAAACTACATACTTATAAATTTTAATGTTTATCGAAATCAATTATGCGGGTATTTTTTAATACCACTACTATGGCAAACAAGCATATGGCAATACCAGGGACATTATGCGCGCGTTACCAATCCTGAAGAAACCAATTTACCCCTGATTTGATTGACGCTATGCTGTAGTCTTTTGGAAAAACTTTGAGTAAAACTACTTTATTGAAAATAATAATTGTTTAATAGTCAATCAAAATAAGTAGGTTTTTATTGAAATACTATGATGTTAATCTCAGTTCAAATTCTGTGTCATCTTAGTTATCCATACGAGTTAGAAACAAAAATTAAATTTTGAGTAAAATGACGTAATAAGTAATAAACAATAATATTCAGTACATTCATGATTCGTATAAAATTTATTTCTTTAAATTTACTAATTTGTTTACAAGTACAATAGCTTGTTTAAGCTATATAGTATGTACCTAATTAAGAGTAAAGCAAAGTGGAAGTAATAATTTAGTTGTTAAAATTTTTAAGTTGTAAGAGAAATTGATGGAATCTCTGTTATGTTGAGTGGTAGCTAAGATTTGCTTTGCATAAATTAAGTATTAAGCTCAATTCTTGGTAGACTATGAATTATAGAAAATAAAAAAATTATATTGCTTCGAGTTTGGATAGATTTTCCAGATTAAGATATTCATTGTCTTTAAGGACAAAGTAACGTAGTTTTACAAAAGTGTAGTATTTATATTACTAAATATTGTTATAGCATCTCAGATTTTTCTACTTGTATAAAATATATTATTTTATTTTCGAAGTCACATACATACATATAGTCTTGGGTGACTGGATTATAAATATCTTCTTAATTATCCAAACATTTATGCTATTAAATATAAATTAAGAGGTAAGATAAAAAAAAAATTGTGATTATACTTAGGTATATACTTAATTTTATGTTATTAGAAACTAAAATTTTAGTTTTCAATAATTTATTTATTATGTAAAAAGTGAAGGAGAAAAAATTATATACAGTAGGTATGTACTAGTATGTACTCGTAAATAAATTCGTAAATGTGGAAAAATAAGTTGAGCTCTAAACCGATCACTTGGCGTACTGTTGTTTCTTTTTATCCTATGCAACACAGGCGTGATGTATGTGTGTAGATAATGTATAAATAAATCTATATAATATACATTACTCATTTTTATAAGTAGATCTAGATGTGATTAGGAAGGGGCTTTAACTAAAAAGGATAGTGTTACCTTTTTTAGGGTTATAGCTACGAAGCTACGACGCCGACTTTAATATTGACAATATTAATATATGAGCAAAATGAGAGCTTATTATATAAATTAAATAGAACATCAAATTTAGTTCAAAATTGACAAAAAAATCTTGCAAAATAAGTACACATAAAATAGTTTCGACTAGGAATCTCCATTTTCTGGAAGTCGGTAAATTATATAATTTAAGGGTAACAACACTTGGCGACATCTATATATTATATTTACATTGTTTGCTTATTTAGGACTGTGCCAGAAGTTGCTGGATTCCACCAACTGCTCAGAACACGAAGGTGAACTGTATTGCAAAGTGTGCCACGCGCGTAAATTCGGACCTAAAGGCTACGGCTTTGGTGGTGGCGCCGGCTGCCTTTCCATGGATACCGGCGACCACTTGCAACAGGAGAACGCGTAAGTACAAACCCTCTTCGTACTCCCGCCGCCCGCGCCACTGAGGGTCTTTCCTTATCTATGGTCGCATTGACGACCGGCCTTCGGGCCCGTACGTAACAACATTAACCGCGTGTACATAAACTCATACTTTGGTAGAAAGCGCGCGCTCGGCTGTACATTATGCGCCGCCTGACACGTGCATGATCAGTCTCCGTTTATGTCGCAACAGGAATTGAGCGCGAGCAGCCATGCAGCAGAGCTAGCGGGTCGCCGACACACATCTCGGCCAACCAGCGGCATCGTGAACGCACGCCACTGTACTTTAATTACTTTAGGATAGGGTTATTTATTCGCTATGCTTAATTTATTTTGTTTATCGGACTATAATTTATAATTTTAAAAAATAATAATAAAGTGAGTCGACTACCAGCCCTGAGTTGTGTTAACGAGTTGGAGCGCGGTCGAGAACGGCGCGGGCCCGAAGTGGCGCCTATAAGGGTACACGCCGACTCAAGCGCGCTCCCACCCTGACCAAACCCTCCCATCCGACCGGGGTCACCCGAAAACATCGGAGCAACGGTGAGAAACCAATGTGTAAAGCCTCAGCACGGCTTGTGGCCTCGCTCCAGACGCACCTAGGAGGCATGCGCCGTAAACTACCTTCTGTCTTTTAACTTTCCTAGCTACTGACAATATCTAACTCTCAACTAACGCTTCTCTATTAGCTTTAACCGATAGTTGGTACATGTGATGGGATAAGGAAAGCGCCCTCTATGTTGATACCTGTAGTAGTATAGCGAGGCCGGTGCGGAGCGGGTGGCCGGGAGCCCTTACCTTCTCCCATTACGGCGGAGGTGCGCCGCCGGCATCAGCTGCTTCGCCAATCCATTTCGCCGGTGTTAGTATGTAGGGGCAGTCGGAGTGCTCCGGCGCCTGGCAGGCTTCTAACTACTCTTCTATCATCGTTGCTCGACCAAAAGCCTTTTGAATAGTAAATCACTTTAGCTATGTATACAGGGGTGTAAGGACAAACGGAGCATGCTTGGAGCCACGAGTCATCGCTAAGGCACCCCCGGGTGAAGGATGTCCTCGTTGTGGTGGATATGTCTACGCAGCGGAGCAGATGTTGGCTCGTGGAAAGGTTAGTTAACGACTAACATGCCCTGGTATAATATTACTACAGCCAGAGATGAAGTTTCATAAATTACTCACTGCTTTTGCCGAAAATCTTTTAACGTCCTGTAATGTAACTTAAATGCTTTTATTTGTTATATTTTTAATGAATTGGCGATTGAATATAATTTCCCAGTTATTGATTGGAATCGTCAGCAAAATATAGATAAAGATGAAAAATAATATCTGTTCCCATTATTTTAATTTTTCTGTTTGAATATAGGTATATCTACAAATAGCTGTCTTTATCTATTTTAACAACCTATCTCTAGTGAGCGATATTTTTTTACGAATAGCTCGTAAGGAGTTAATAATTTTTATATAATTTCACAAAATATAATGATGTCATCAGACAATTTCCAATACAATTTATAACTTAAATTTACCTATCATTTACGTAATGCTATATTTCATAGTTTATTAAATCGGATCACATAAATTGGGAACGATAGTTGAAAACAAAATGTTCTATTTAAGTCTTAACTATGCAATTGTTATACTTTAGGGCTATCACAGGAGATGCTTCAAATGCTTAAATTGCAACAGGACTCTTGATTCTATGATGCATTGTGATGGACCAGATAAAGAGATATATTGTCGAGGTATCTGTTAGTTTGCTGATTTGGATATTGACAATGAATTCTCCCTTCTGAGTAGTTTTTGTGCAATAACATCATCATCATTGTAATAACAGTGTGCTCCTTGATATGAATTTGACCTCGCATGCGTGATGTTCCTTCACTCTTCACTATATGTCCAGGCGTGGCACAGGGAGTGCTTCAAATGCGGCGACTGCCAAAAACGTCTAGACTCTACCAACTGTTGCGAGGGGCCAGATAGAGACATTTACTGCAAAGGTTTGTTTATTTGGCTCTATTCGTATATAATAATACATTTTAATCATAAATTTTAAATAATTCAGTTTACCTAAAAAGTATAATTAACCTACTACACATACCTTCGTTAAATTTGTGATTCTTGATGTACTTAATCAAATTTCAAAGCATGTTTTCCCATGTTTTTTTCGTAATTTTCATTTATACTTGTATTTTTCTCTAGTCTGTTATGGGAAGAAGTTTGGTCCTAAAGGATATGGTTACGGAAAGGGAGCTGGTGTTTTGCAGAGTGACCCTTACGCCAATGGGTAAGAGAAACTTGAAGGAAGCAAATTTACTCATCTGGCGAGGGCACAGTTTAATTAGATTATTGCATTCCTTTTGTGACGTGTTTGTACTTAATTAATACTTTATACTGTGTACTCCTCAGATGTCTATAGTAATACCGCTTATTTGCTTTTGCTGTAGGATGCTACGCAATAAAGTTTGGTCCTAGAGGTATTGGACACGGGGGGATGTCATCCCTGGGTCTCATGTGTGATGTAAAGGACTTGGAGTGGCAAAGGTATATGGATAGTGTGTTACCGAGAGCCCAAAAGGATATAGTCTATAGGACTATAAATCTTCATTATTAACTGAATCATTTAAATTATATTTGCTTATAGACTGCTTTAGCAAATGTTTTATATTCCTTACCATTTAAACATTAGCCCTCTTACTTAAAAAAATTGAGCTACTTGGTAATAACTAATTTAATATTTATATCAAGGGCTTTACTTATTAACTGTAGGTATAAGTAAGGGGGTTAGATACATTTTTTATCATTCACTTAACGTTTTACTGAATTATGCAACATTTTTTTTAACAAATTACGCTCATAACTTCTCAGGTTACAAACAGGTTCAGGTTATTTCCATCGCATAGTCACTTTCATAAAAACAGCTTATAATACAAACAAGAGATGGCATCGTGCCAGCGTGAAAATAGCACGCGCTCTGCGCTCACGAACGAACTAATTTTAATATCGGCCACGCGACTTTTGAGCTTACAACATGGCAATCTGCGGCGAATTCACTCGTCTTTAATGGGTCATTCGTCCTTTTTCTCATGTTATGTAAGAGAAAGTAGCAGTGACAGATGTGTCCATAAATAAATATTACATATTCAGTTTCATTATTTGCCATTCATTTTCATAGAGCACCAATACTAACATTGAGAAAAATATCTATAATAAGAAACACTTTGCTTTTTTGGAGTGTATAAATAGGTATTTTTCTTTCTATCATACGTTTGTAACTCGCCTGACTAAATTGGTACGATACACAGACGAGTCACAGAAAATTCTCCTGTGTTATCTCTGGCTCAAGAAATTGACCTAATGTGGAGTTTCAGGAGCTCGGGAACATATGAATATCCGTAGATTGATATAGATTTGTCATGTATGTATCGCTTTCCGTTAGACAAGTTCATCAGTTTGTTAATATAAAATAGTATAAAAAAAAACTTAGAATCGACTTCACAGTCGCATCACTACCAATTGTATACATACATTAATATGTATTTACTTACATTGTGTGGTATTACTTATATAAAAAATATAATATCTTCGTAATAACACTAAAATATTTTTCATACAGTGACCAAGCTCCAAAGACGACGGTAATTGATACCGCCAGTATTAAGGCTCCACCAGGCAAGGGTTGCCCACGGTGTGGTGGCGTTGTTTTCGCCGCTGAACAAGTCCTGGCAAAGGGTCGTGAATGGCATCGTAAGTGTTTCAAATGCCGTGACTGCACCAAGACATTGGACTCGATCATAGCTTGCGACGGCCCGGATAACGATGTCTATTGTAAAACATGCTATGGAAAGAAGTGGGGACCCCATGGTTATGGATTCGCTTGCGGCTCTGGATTCTTACAGACTGACGGCTTAACGTGAGTATTGATTTTATTTACCAACATCAAAACGTTTTTAAATAAAATTCTTTTTACGTTTACATCTATGTTAGAAATCGCATATTGTTGTTCCTTATATATATATATATATATATATATATATATATATATATATATATATATATATATATATATATATATATATATATATATATATAATTATTCCGTGTTCTATTTATTCATTTCTCAAATGATGGACCGATTTAATTAAATCAAAATGATTCTTAGATTAGGAACTGAAGTAGTTTACCAGTAAACATTCTAATATTTTTTTATAAAGTTGTAGTAATTTCGGCGTCAAAATTTATGTGCTTCTATTGTATTTTATAGTGAGGAGGAGATTTCTGCTAATCGTCCATATTATAATCCTGATACTACCTCCATAAAGGCACCTAAAGGCCAGGGATGCCCACGTTGCGGCGGCATGGTATTCGCTGCGGAACAACAATTGGCTAAAGGGACAGTAAGTCATTCTTTTTAATAATTTTCTTTTATTAAGTTTAATACAGTTGGTGGTAAAATGTGTTAACTTGTGTACAGATGTGGCACAAGAAATGCTTCAATTGCGCCGAGTGCCACCGACCTCTGGACTCGATGTTGGCGTGTGATGGCCCCGACAGGGAGATCCACTGCCGTGCTTGTTATGCTAAACTATTCGGGCCAAAAGGATTTGGCTTCGGCCATGCTCCTACACTCGTGTCCACAGATGCGGAACCTACCATCACCTAGTAAGTTCAAATAAATCATCATCGTTATTTACTGTCATATTTGACAATATGTTTTTTATAGTTGTAAGTTGTGAATGAATGTGTTCAATATAAGATAGTACAGTACATACATAATGTTCATGTTTGTTTTTTACACTCAGTTAAACTTAATATTGAATTAAAATATTATAGTATTCAGAAAACAGATTTTATCTTTCACATTTATGTGATTACAATGAAACATGTCTTCTGTATAGGATATCAAATGATTCATCCAAATAAGTGGAATCTTGGCCTTTTATACTTTTTTTGTAGTTTTAAGAAATTATAATACTGAAATTTATGATCATTTCATCATTACATGCCATGCTTTATGGCAGTCTATGGGGAAGGCTTATGTCCAACAGTGGACAAATAATGGCTGAAATGATGATGATGATGATGCCATGTAGTTCAAGCATAGAATAAGCCACCCTTTCCTTTCACATGGGTGTCATAAGAGGTAACTAAGAGAACTTAATGGTCAAAGGATAGGCAGCAGTGTCCTTCTTAAAATATCATCAAAGTCTTATTGCAGTTGCTAACCTACCTTCCAAGTGTGGCATCTACTAACAAAGCTTCCCTTATGGAGAAGGCCTATGTTCAGCAGTGGATAGTTAACAACTGATAAACTAATAATAATTTATATTATTAAATAATGGTATAGCAATAAGAAGTCAAAAAATTATATTTTGTGGAGAAATATGAAGGACACAACTGGTTAGTACATAGTAGATGATGGATAAATTGTAACAATGATGATAAATGGTAATCATTCTATTTCTTATATTAGTTAACTAGTATTTAGATGTATTGTTAAGCATTACTTAATATTAATGAATAAAATATTCTACAGCACAGAGCAGCTTCCATTCACTGGTCAGAAGGCTGCCAAAGGACATGGTTGCCCTCGATGCGGATTCCCAGTGTATGCTGCTGAACAAATGCACTCCAAGAATGGCACATGGCACAGACGGTGCTTCTCATGTGCGGACTGTCATAGATCTCTGGTAAGTGAAATATTTGTTATTTATGAGAGTTACAGATAAGTAGATATGACAGATAGACTGTACTATTTTCTAAATTATATAGTTTTATAAACTTTTCTTAATTCATAGCCACTATATTTTATACTGGCATCATATAGTACTTGTACAATTAAGATGAATATATTGACACCCTATTTTTAAAATCTATTAAGGCTTTGAAATTATAATAATGTGTAATAGATTCATCTATCCTAAAATATTAACCTACAAATTTTTGTAAGTTCTATAAAATGTTACTACTTTTATTAATGATAATAAATTAGGAAAACTAATTTCTACTTATAACACTCATCTGTAAAATTATTTTTATAACAGACTGAATCATGTATGATGTGATTTTTAAAAGCAACTAAATATAATTCATATAGCAATAAAACAAACCTTTTTATTATCTTTTACATTTATTTAATTAGGGATAAATGTATCTAAATTTGATTAGTTTTCAAGTAATGACGGTCATCATCTTCTTCCTTATCAAGATGAGTTCTCAAAAATTCTTCCACAGAGTCCGTATTCCATTTTTCAATAGCAACAGTGTCTCTTACGATGCCGTCTTTATCCAGCAACTTAATAATGGGGTCAAGACCGCGAACATACTTAATTTGCAAATTTGGAAACTTAGCAGGTCGATCACTTTTCACAAATGCTTGGATTTGTGGATATGCTGGAAATTTGCATGTACAAACTTCGAGTACAGCACGGGCATATTTTTTCTCCTTCGGGGCTGTTACGTCTTTATGGCAGCATTCTTTACAATGTACTACTAGTTCGTCTAAACTGAAGTCTTTGAGTTGATCACAAGAAGAACATAATAGATTAGCTTTAATAAATCCAAGTGCTGCACAGTCTTCTGTCGAGAATTCCGCGTTACTTTTTTGTATAGAAATTATAGAGAGAAGTAAAATTGATAAATAAAAGATATTACAAGATACCATTATTAATATTGATTATAAGCTATATACACGAAAAAAAAAAACTAAATTTTTAATTTTATTTATGCAAAATAACTAACTAACCTACGAATTACAAATTTTGACAATTAGTCTTCGTAGAGCAACTGACACTGACAATAGGAATAGACTTATGTACTTAGACAGTTAACATATCATTGACATTGACGTTTGTGAGTTGACATGCCATATTTTTTAGAATTTTCGAAGTAGAGCAAAGAGCTGAGACTTAAAAGTCTAATGTAGTAAGTTTTCTTTTTAATTATCGACACGACATTTTTATTATATGGATTATAATGGAATGTTAACCTATTCATTGAAAAAAAAAATAAAATAAAAAAGGAACAAACTGTATGCGTTATGAAAGAAAACACAACTTTTTTTTCGCCGTATCTTTATCATATTTATCTAGGAATATAATTTTGTGACGCAATTGTATATTAAAAGAACTCCCTATAAAAATGTCAATCAATGCTAGTGGAGTTTCCTCGAAAGCTCGCTGGCTTTCTACCCTTCCATGAAAAGAATGTCTTCGCCTATTTCATATTGACTAGAAATTTTATGAAAATAAATAACTTATTTGATCATTTTGTATTGTTACAGGATTCCACCAACTTAAATGATGGACCTAATGGCGAAATTTACTGCAGAGGTTGTTATGGTAGAAATTTCGGCCCGAAAGGTGTTGGTTTCGGTATGGGCGCAGGCACATTAACAATGGCTTAGTTAAACTATGAAGCTGGACTTTATAGGATTTTAAAATACTTTAAATGGTAGCGTGAAAGGAATTTAATCTATTGCTACCTCTTATCTGCTGATCTTACCATTTATTAAACTGGTTTTAATAATGGTTGATTTTATCCAAAGAGACTAATAAAGAAATAGATATATATATAATAGATTTTATGTAAGTGCAATAATTTTATGATAGGAAGATATAAATTAAAGGTTACATTCCTTTCATATATGTACAAATTGTGATGAATGTGTCTGGGCCCTTAGTTTATAGATTCGTCATAAAATATTGTAGAATGTAAGGTGCATAGACTTAATGTAGAAATAAGAAGTAATAAATAATTAAAATATAAAAAAAAAAAAATCGAATTAACTATTAAAAAATATATAAAAAATAAATATGGCATTGTGATTATACTTCCACAAATCACTTTAGTGATGTGGGGTTAAGCATAAAACTATCCTGTAAACGCGGATAAGATTGCAAATAAGCAATCGTTTCGACCGACCAGATCTTAATGACAAGGTCTGAAGTGTCAATGAAGTCTGATTAGAAAAATAAAAAACCTGTATTTTGGGCATCATATTTGACTCCACATAATAATATTTGACCCTTACATAATTATCAACAATATATACATTTTTACACCCTGGTGAATTAAATATATTAAATATTGAACATATAAATTTTTGAAAAACAAATAATTGCATGCCTATAGAGTTTAACGGGACTATTGTTGTATTCGCCATTTTATTCTAGCAAATAAATATGCATTTTTTAAAGTACAAACCATCATACTTTGACACCAATCAACTAAAAGAAACTAGCACCAATTGTTTTCTACAACATGACAAGGTTTTTTATTTTTACAGTCGAGCTTTACATATTTTTATATATACATCAAAGATTTTTTGTACATATAAATTTTGATATTTTGTCATATATTATTGCTTCCGGCACACTAAACTGTGCGTGTAAATGTTAACTATATATGCTTTTCGAGCTTCTGCCACATAACATGCACAATAAATCAGATTTAATGTTTAAATTAAGACAGCTTATCGCATATGACAATAATCATAAGACAATTGTATAATTTATTATTTTTACTCAATAAAAAAATTATTGAATTTTGCTTTTCATTTATTCAAAAATGAGTAAACATCCACATGCAATTTATTCTGTAAGAAATAATAAGTATTAAAACATTATAAAATAACAATATCACTAAAATAAAGACATAGGCAATATGATTTTTTTTTTAGTACAATAGACAATCCAATGTAGAAATCTAAAAGTAATCATCTGCTTAAAACTAAATTTAAAATCTTAATTGTTAGTAGGCGGCTGATTCAAGAGTCGGTATAAGTTGGCTGGTTAAAATTACGTACATGGATCACCTTTCTTTACAAATTGAAAATAGAAAATTATCCATGTTACCAGGTCTATTCATCTATAATTAGCTATCATGTGTCCATCGTCCGATGAATTATGTTTATTAAAGTATACTTACAAAATATCACATGTATCATGTTGATGAAAATTATTATTAATTAATTAAAATTTTCTTTATCAGAACTAAAGTATACATAAGACACACACGTGTGTATATGATTTTTTTTTATATTTCAATAAGTGATACCATAGAGAACTCATCCTATCGGAGTGGTAATTGTTTACATAATAAAGTATAGATAAATAGACTATAAACAGATACATTTAATATATATTAAAATACCCGTAAATTCATATGACAAAATACAATTAACAAATGATTCATAATCATTGGAATTCAACAACTAAACTAAAATTATATAACGAAATGTAAAAAATATTGAAAACAATTTTAATGTCACAACTCACAACATAACATCTGTTTTTTTTTTTTCAATGATCAAACTATCATTTACGATTTTATTAAAATAAGAGGAATTATTATAAGACTAAAAGCAACAACAATTAAAACGCAATTAATGAATGGTCTTTTAATTTTGATTCAGGTCTTTTTCTTAACAACAAATCTAGGTCCTTTTCCTTTCTTGCTACTTTGCATTGCACTGGTACTTGGCTCTTGGAACCCGTATTTGTACTTTAGGCGCTCCCTTATTAATAGTCCTTTTATTAGTCGTTTCCAGTTACCATAAACTCTTGCTTCTGTTTTTTCTATTTCTTTGCGTTGCTGTTCCTCTTGGTCCTTTAATGAATTAATTTATATTGAAATTTGTTTTGATATATGAATACGAGTATGTCTTTGAAGGTTTTACAGTACGAGTATATATTTATTGGAAATAAGTATTGAATAATACTTTTTATAATAATATATTACTCATTATACGATCAAATAAAGTTATATTTCACGAAATTTCGTGTGCGTAGATTTTAGACAATGATATAGATCACATCTAGATAAGAATTAAAGATAAAACTTCTAACACTAAATTCTGGGAGAAAGGAATCGTTAGTAATGGAGTTTAACAACCCTATTACTTTTTTAATTGATGATAATGCTGCTTGCGCTAACGTTATACACTAGCGTGGCACCAGTGGGGGATGATAGGTGAGGATGAAAAGGTAGGTCTGTTAGCCCACGGGGAACCTTTACTCATCTGTAGCAACTGCATCCAATTTGGTGCATTAGTTTTCGCATAATGTCAGAAAAAACATACAGATAGACAAGAATACTATAAATTACTATTTTCCTCTTATTTGCTTTTCATATATATTTACTTAAATGTCTCCTAGGTATCATCATATAGTTAAAATTTTATTAAATTAGTAAAAATACTATTTGAAATACAACTACTATAATATAATTATGGTTGACTGGGAGACAATGCTTTCAGAATTAAGTCCGTCATGTACATATATATGTACTAAAGAATAAATAAAATAATGAAACATCACATTGATATTATATAAACCAACCTTTATCCATGCATCTGTGACAATTTCCTCAAACTCCTTGCAAACTACAAATCCATCAAAAACTGGGTGGCTCCAGCCTCCATTGAAATCAAACCCAGTCATTGCTGGTGCACAATCAATATTCAATTTTCTGGCCACTTTGTTAAGGCCAGGCACTGGAAATATGGAATAAAAATATAAAGCAAAATACTTGTTAACACTTTGAGCTGGAATTCAAGCATTATGAACACAATATCCTTTCTAATCCTTAGTTTTTACTATTATTATAAAAATGAGTTTGTTCATGTAGATTTTGAGATGGAAAGACATAACATTTCATTCCTGGTTAATAATATAATTCGGTTATGAGGACAAAGTAGTAAAGGTAAAAATTAGTAATAAATATAAGTTTCTTTGTTATTTTGGGGCCTTAATTTTAAACAAATTCTCAAAAAATTTGGAACACACATAATATATAGCTTGGAGCCTTTTCCACACAAAATACCATGTATATATCTGACTGACCATTTTAAGAAATATTTATGTTCATTATATAGAAAATACCCCCTGTCCATATCATGATGTGGTCTGGTCAGATCATTGAATAATCAGCATTCGTCGATATGAAAAGCTAAACACAGCTACTTCATGATATAATCAAACATTAGTAATTATTATCCACAGTTAGAGGCCCTGATATTGTTTTATTTTTGTAATGCTTCATGGAGACAGAAAATAATTATACTGATAAAAAGCTAATAATAATGTGGCAATTAAATCAAGTGAAGCAAAATTATTAGAATTTTATGAAAGACACTCAAAAGAAACCACACATTAATGATTGAATGATCCAAACGTGGATTAACATATCATCAAACATTGTCGTTTATTCATGATATATTCAGTTTTAGCTGGCCACATTGTGATATACAACCAGTTCATGAAATGGTTGGCCACACCATGAAGTAATCAGTTCTAAGATCTGACCACGACATATACGAGGTCTGTCCGGAAAGTTCGTATAAAAGTGTTCTGGAATGCGAGAAAGAGGAGTGGGGAGGCCAGGTAAGCGCAGGACCCCTTCCTTATGTCCCTAACAATTCAGTTCTGGTCTGACCGCCGTGCGGTGCGAACTGGCTTGTCACGCCATCTGTGAAGTTACCTCTTAACGAAACCCCGTCGGCATGGAGCCCGCTTCCGTTGAAGAGCAGCGCGTCGTAATCAAGTTTCTCTCGAACTCGGCAAGAATAGCCGTGAAATTTTTGCCGATCTAATTCGATAAGACATCCGGGGAACCACGAACAAAAAAATCAAGAAAATCCCGCTCAAATGTCAAGACAATGTTGATTGTTTTTATATGTTCGGGGGATTGTCCATCAAGAATTCGTCCCTCCAGGCCAGACAGTTGATGGAAAATTCTACGTCGATGTGCTCAGACGCCTCAAAGCTCGTGTGGCACGAGTTCGTCCAGAATTGGCGCGAGAGGGGCGTTGGATTCTTCACCACGACAATGCCCCTGCCCACACCTCTCTTGTTGTCCGTGAGTTTTTGAGTAAAAATTCCATTACGGTGACCGAGGCCCCCCTATTCGCCGGATTTGGCCCCGTGTGACTTCTTCTTGTTCCCAAAAACCAAATTGGTACTTCGGGGGCGGCATTTGGGGGACATAAATGAGATAAAAAAAGCTACGACGGGGCAGCTGAGAAACCTACAACCAGAGGACTTTCAAGGAGCCTTCTCACAGTGGAAACGGCGTTGGCACAAGTGCATTATGTCACAGGGGGAGTACTTTGAAGGGGATAAAATTGATTTACCTGAATAATTGTAAAATAAAATTTTTAAAAAACTTTTATACGTACTTTCCGGACAAACCTCGTAAGCTACTTTTTATTTTGTTCAAGTGAATTAAGTACAAGTAGTAATACTATAATTCTTACATTTTATATGGACAGTTCCTTTAGGAAGCATGCAGTCTTTGAATAGCTCGACATTTCCATATGCATTACGAGGAACGATTCCATTCTCTGCTACCGGCGGCTCATAATCTTGAACTTGCCATGGCCCAAATAATTCAAGTGGTTTATCAGTAATTAATTTGTTAGAAAGCTGAAATAACGAAATATTATTATAAACTATAGATAAAGTAATTTAAATTTATGTTAAGACTGTTGAAATTGTAATACCACTAACTTAATTTATAATCATTCATTTCACGTTTTATTGATTTGTTTAATATATTAGGTTACGGCTCACCTGATATGGTAAGTGATCGAAAATCATCATCTCGCTCTGAAGGTGTTACAAAAAAGTACTAGAATCGTTTTCCGCCGGTCGGTTTATATAAATAAATCGCTTTGACAAATATGTAAAGGGATATTATAGACTACTACAACGCAGCAGTCTTTTGAAAAATAGCATTTGTCTTAGTTCGAGTTATTTGACAAAAAAAACTTGTTATGCTTGACTTTGTTATATTTTTCAGTCGGTTACGATTACAGCGATTATTATAAAATTATAGAGGGTTGGGGCGTACAACATGTATATGCTCTATATGTTTTACATACCTTATCCCACTTAGGTCTTGCTTTCACTATTTTGTATGGATTTTCACCCAAACGTACCACCTTCGCTTCTTTGAGCCATGTATCTCGGGACCGGCAAACATAGACGCACTCTCTAGCATATACAGCCTCTTGTCGCACAAAGCCTAAAGTTGCTGCATCCGGTGGGTATATAGCTTCGAACTTTAATAAATGACGTTTCAAGGCGTATAATGGGTGGTTTTTGTATCTAAAAATGTTATATAATGCTCTAAAGTATGATTAGGCAGAACGCATATATATATATATATATATATATATATATATATATATATATATATATATATATATATATATATATATATATATATATATATATATATATATATATATAAATTGTTAGTAATGGGGTCTACCAGCCCCATTGCTAGCAACATACCCTATCAGGTTGACCTCCACGCGGTTCCCCCTGGACACCATCTTAGTTAATTCTTATTGAATTCGTCACGATGGGCTAATTGACCTGCTTTCATTTTTACTTATCATCAATCACTGGTGCCTCGTCAGCGTATACTAATAGCGCACGCGGGGTTGCCATTCCATTATCATCCTTAAAAAATATTCCTCATCCTCCCTTAGTCGCCTCTTACGATACCCATAGGAAAGAAAGTAGTGGCCTGGTGGAATATAGTTTTTATTTTCACACGATTGATAAAGGGTATTTGCATATTAGTATTTGTATGAACAAAACATAGCACAGAAGTACCTGTTAATATAAAAGATTAAATTTTTTGAGATTTCCCCCTCAGGCCTTAAATAGTCCTTTTAAATTTCTGTTGTAAAATAACAAAAAAATAATATTAATAAAGAATATTAATGGAGAATACTAACTCTGCAATACTTTTAGGCAATGGAGCTTCTAATTGCATTCTATCCAAATATTGGTCTTCCTCTCTATCTTTGGCAGTTTTGGGTCCCAGCCAGGGTTCTATGGCTTTATTCCACCAACCAGGTTCTACACGCTGTTTCCTTGTAACTGTATTCCAATGTGGTACATATCTACGAGTCACGTCCTTTAGATAATTGTTGTTGTCCCAACCAACAACATAGCATACAGGATGTGTTGCCCGACCCTAAATTTTGAAACATCTATTAAAATTAAAATTACTTCAGCAGTTCTAATTTAAATTTATTTGATATTTAAATATCAAGCCGTATATATATTTTCCTACTACGTAAGTTTCTTATATACTCTGCTCCAATCAATTACATTCACCACAATGGCTGGAGTATCCCTACTGAGTCATAATTATTATTTTGAATTACAGCTAGAAGCATATGAATTCTAATGATAGATACATTTTTCATATAACTTGGTCATAGTCTTCTAATCCTTTCGATAATCTTTTAGAGGTAAAAGAGAATGACAACAGAATATTAGTTTTTCATTCACACTAGACGTAAGTTAAGCCAGGCTTACTATTTCATTATCATCAGCAAACAATGGTTTTCGCTTATAAAAACCATTGTTTGCTGATGATTCCAAGTCTAAAACATTTTATAATATAAGGTCAGTACAATTAAATCTATTTGTTTTATGATAAAAAAAATCAGAAATAGGACACATTTATGTTATGTTAAAAGATACTTACATAAATATAATCGGCACAGTGAATTTTTCCTGTAATAACATCAACACAAACCCATTGCTCAAGCTCCTCCACAAATACTTCACACCAAACATCAATTTTTTTCTGAGGTGCTTCATCATCTGTCGACACAACACGACGATCTATTTTACGACCTGTGCTTGGTTTACGACTAGTACTCGGTTTTGGACTGATTTTAGATGGTTTGAAATCGTTGTCGCTCTCAGATTCCCGGCTTTTTACAATTTCTTCTGGTAAGAAATCACTGTCTTCATCTGAATCTTTTTTATTTTTACCTGCAAATATAATTTCATAGCAGTTTTTTTTAATAATGTATAACTTTAAGGTTACAAAATTCATTATTTAGATTGTAACACAAACCTTTAACAATATGCTGCTTTGTATCCTCTTTAGCTTCTTTGATCCGATTCTTAACAATTTTTACCAAATCACCAGTAATATCACTCTTAGAATTTGTTTTTGGCTTTGTAAGATCTCTGTGACTCACACGCTTTTTGTCTTCCATTACATCTATCTTTGATTTATTAGATTTTAAGCCTAATTTTATCTTAGGCTTTTTAATTTGATTCTTATCATCGCTGTCACTAAAATATTTGCTTGTTTCTGTTTTAATTGGAGCACTTTTTGTTCTTGATTTGATTTTAATAACATTCTTTGGGTCTTCTGGTTTAACACTTTTTTGAGAAAGAGTAGGATTAGTAGTTCTGGATCTTTTTCTAGAAAGTCGCAAATTATCACTATTATTGAGGTCTTTATTATCAAAATATTCACTAGATACATTTTCAGTTTCATGTGTAATAACAATTTCTGGTGGTTTGGTTTCAGTTATATTTTTTTCTGGTAAGGAATTTTTTTTATCTAAACTATTTTTAGTATCGGTTTTTCCACTTTTACGAGACAAATAATTACTACTTTTTTTATTTGTTACTTGATTATCATTATTCTGGGGAAGGTAATCCTTAGATTTCTTTGGAGTTACTTTGGATATGTTACTTTTATTAGGTTCAATTTTATCTTTTTCCTGTACAGAGATAGCATGTTGTTGTACATTTTCCTTTGTTTTAGACACCTTTGTTGAATTAAGGTTTGGGCTTTTTTTTGATCTCTTTGGTGGTGATACATCTTCTTTGCTAATGTCATGTTCATTAACCATATTTTTAGCTTTTGTAGATCTAGTCTTTCTAGTTTGTACACTTAGTGTATCATTACTTCCATCTAATTGAAATATGTTTTCTGAATCAATGTCATCAGAAGATATGTTTATGTCATCAATGCCATCAACTTGTAAAATTTTGGAATTAGCTTTTACTTTACTAGATGTTTTTACTTTATCTTTAGTATTACTAGATTTATTGAGTTGATCTGGTTTTTCAATAGTGCTTTTATTTTTTTTTTTTATAGAAAGTGAACATAGCTCTGAACTTGGTGGTCTAATAGGTAATGTAACAAAATTAAACATCACACGGCATTGTAAACCAAGAGCTCTTAACATTGATACAAATATAAATACTATGTATTTTTTTGTTGTAGCTATTCTACTTTTGATTTGTCCCAGTAGTATCTCTTTAAGAGGTGGGGCTTTAGGTCTAAATTTGTCTTCATTTTTGTCTTGTTTTAATATTAGCTTATCTTTGTACCAAATTGTTATTTGTTCTATGTATTTCATGTCTACTCGTTCTCCTGGGTAACATTCTTTTGCTGGGACCATTTTCAATGCAGCTGCCATAATTTCCTGGTCATTAATGACACGACTGACATAATTTCCATGACCTAACCAACACAAAACATGCACCTTGTGCATGTAAATTTGATATTCTTTCTTCACTCTATTCATTTTACGTTTCATCATCATTTCTATATCAATTGTTTTAGTTTTTCTACAAACTGCTCCAGGAAAATCAACAATAAGTTCTAAACCTTGTTGGGGTATTGCTTTATTCTCTGAAAATTATAATGAAGTGTGTTGAAGTGTAATAACAACTGAAAAAGCATAAAAGATGGCATAGGTCTGACAGGACTTTTGCACAAACTGCATTATAACTTACAATGAAATTGGCTTAGAAACTGAAAACTAGGCACCAAGCATCTGTTATCATGACTACATAAAAATTACCGTTAATTAGTATTTTTTTAAATATTAAATACATATTGATACAAAACTTATCTGTTTCTCTATTATATCCAATTGATGTGGATGAAAATTTGTCATGTTCTAAGTAACAAAAAAAATATGCAGAAATTAAAGTTCCCAATGGATACTATTATAACTGCCGTATTTAGTTTCTTGGGGTGGGGGAGGGGGGGCATTGCCTTTAAAAAAATATGCATAATATACTTAATATTATAATATACATGTTTTTGCACATAACCGAGAGAACAGCTCAGATCTTAGGATGAACACAGGCAATTCTGTGGTGAGTATGCCTCCGCCCTTAAATATGTAAAATAATCAAAGATTTCATGTAAAAATCGCATGAATGAAATGAAATTAATATAAAAAGTAACAAAATTTTTAAATTACCTTTAACTTCTTCCCATTCATCTATATCAGAATCACTATCTTGTCTAGCTTTTTTTGATTTAGCTTTCTGTTTTATTAATCTAGTTGGAGAAACAACTTCTTCACCTAGTGCTAATAAGTCTTTTACATTTATACCACTTTTTTCTTCTTCAAGTTTAGCAGAATACTTTTTAATAGATGATTTAGTTTCCTCAAATTTTGTTTTATGCTGTTCCAACTCAAGGAATTTTCTTTTTGCAATCTCCTCACTGTCATCTTGAAGATTTTTTGCCCATACCTATAAAATTATCATTAAAAATATAGCATTATGAAGGATGCATGAAAAAAAATGCAATGAAACTTTATCTCAGAACAATATTTAAAATGGACAAAGTACAGGTATATCATATATATAACAAGAGAAAATATACTAATTATGTAATTTTAATTGTAGCAATAAATGTCAGTGATTCAAAAAAGAGATAAATTAAACTCAAAGTAAAAATTCTTGTCTTAAGAAATTGTACTAACATCTTTATATTCAATATTAGTTTCATTATCTGAATCCACATGATGATCCTTCTCAGTGACTGACGTCGGTACATGTTTCTTTGCTTTAGGCGATTCATCTTCACTACTATCTGTAATCAACAAAATACTATAGGTATTACATAGAAATATTTTATTTTTTGAATATGGAGCATATGTACTGTAATTGTATATTTATCAATTATTTTAAAATATGACATTATATATAAGAAATATTGATAATCATTAAAAAAGTTCTATGATACTTAACTAAAATGTTAATAATTATTGACATTTTTTTGTTTACTTTTTGAGTATTTTGTAAGTAATAATTCAGAAGTTTTGAAAAACAATTTATGCCTGTAATTTTATCCGTGTGGTTACTACACTCCATATTGATTGATTGAAATATTGATTGATACACTCCATATTGATTGATGATTTGTAGGTGGTAGAGCCACGCTGTAATACCATATGGTATTGCAGCATGAATGGGCCGGCTCGACCGGGGAAGTACCACACCCTCACAGAATTTAATGGCCGCACTTTTAGTGCGACCACATTCCGTATGGTGAGTGAGGGAGTCCGGAGGCCCATCCTATACCCATCCCCTTCCTTATCCTAAAATCCTCCCCCAACTCCGTCCCCCCATCTTTCAATACCATGGCAGTGGAATTTAAAAAAAATAACGTATACCAGCAGCCATGTTGCTGGAGAATCGAGCAACCACGCTCGGGCTGCCCTGCGTATTCTGGGGGGGGCAAAATTCCGCTCTATGGGACCAAGGGCAAACAGAGCAAGACTTCTGCGGCATCCCCTTTGCTCAATGTGAGCCTCTGTAATATTAGGGGAATTCATTCAAACCTGAACGCTGTCCACCACCACCTAGAAACGGCGCGGCCGGCATTGCTCTTCCTCACGGAGACACAGATATCCCCTCCTAACGAAACATCATACCTGACCTACCCGGGGTATAAGCTTGAACATTGTTTTGTTTCGCGTGCCGGTGTATGTGCGTATGTCAGAGAGGATATCTGCTGTCGACGCCTTGGGACTCTTGAAGGTACGGACCTGTCCATTCTATGGCTGCGCGTAGATTGCAATCTATGTGCCTATACAGGTCCCACAGCGGTAACATGAAACCGACCAACTAATTGAGCACGTCCAAATGGCTACAGATTCTCTGCTTGAGCAGATTCCTTCCGCTGAAGTCGTGATTGTTGGCGACTTTAATGCCCACCATGCCGAATGGCTTGGTTCGCATACAACCGACTATGCGGGAAGATCTGTTCATGACTTTGCTTTGGCTTATGGTCTGACACAGCTTGTTTCCTCGCCTACGCGAATCCCTGATGTGTTGGACCATTCACCTTCACTGCTGGACCTTCTTCTGACCACCCACCCAGACAACTATGTGATCTCCGTCGAAGCCCCGCTTGGATCGTCGGATCACTGTTTGGTGCGGAGCGATATACGAGTCCGACTCCACCTCGTTCTACGGGTAGACGTCGCATTTGGCACTACAGGTCGGCAGATTGGGATGAGATGCGGATTTTTTTCGCATCTTACCCATGGAGGCAGGTTTGCTTCACACTGGATGATATTGCCGATTCCATTGCTGATGTGGTGCTTCAGGGAATGGAAATTTTAACTCTGTGGTGCCCGTCGGCGGGAAATCCCAGCCCTGGTATGGAGCCTCCTTAGAACAGCATCTCGTCTGAAACAGGAGTGCTTCCTAACCTGGGCTAAAGGTGTGGCGTCGCGAGATCCTAACACCAGTGTTCTTAAAAAGAAGTATAACTCTGCCTCTAGGTCTTTCAAAAGAGTTATAGCCACAGCGAAGTCAGAGCATATTAGTAGAATTGGCAAGAGACTGGCTAGTTTGCCCTCTGGGACTCGAGCTTTCTGGTCTCTTGCCAAAGCTGCACAAGGGAATTTCTGTAAGTCATCTTTTCCACCTTTGCGCAGGGAGGATGACTCGTTGGCCCAGAACGCTAAAGAAAAGGCCGATCTTCTTGGATCCATCTTTGCGTCAAACTCGACATTGGATGACGGGGAGAAACCACCACCGACCATCACGTGTTGTAGGAGCTCTATGCCTGACATTAAATTCACACATAGCTCAGTGCGTAGAGCACTTTTCTCTCTCGAAATCCATAAGTCGAGTGGGCCTGATGGTATTCCTCCAATTGTGCTTAGGACGTGCGCACCAGAGTTGGCTCCGGTTCTTACGCGTCTTTTTCGGCTTAGCTACTCATCGGGCATAGTCCCAAAGTTTTGGAAGACTGCTCTGGTGCATCCGATCCCTAAAAAGGGAGATCGCTCAGATCCAGCTAACTATAGGCCCATAGCTATCACTTCCTTATTCTCGAAGGTTATGGAATCCATCATTAACCGTCAACTGCTCCGGTACCTAGAAGAGCACCGGCTGATCTGTGATCGCCAGTATGGCTTTCGACAGGGACGTTCGGCCGGTGATCTTTTATTACTTAACACACCGATGGGCAGTGGCAATCGAGAGTAAGGGAGAGGCCTTAGCAGTTAGTCTGGATATTGCGAAGGCCTTTGATCGGGTGTGGCATAGAGCGCTGCTTTCAAAGCTACCTTCATTTGGGTTGCCTGCGAGACTGTGCATTTGGGTCGCCAGTTTTCTCAAGGAACGTAGCATTAAGGTCGTAGTCGACGGTGCATGCTCTGATTTAAAACCTTTGAATGCTGGTGTCCCGCAAGGCTGTGTACTATCTCCGACTCTGTTTCTTCTGCATATCAATGATATGTTACAGATAAGTAATATTCATTGCTATGCGGACGACAGTACAGGAGATAATATGCAAAGATCTCGCGGGCACATACCGATGAGTGCCGGAATATTCTGAAATCGAAATTTCACTCCATCAAGTTTCGATCTGGGGTGAACAAAATCTTGTCCAATTTAACCCCAAAAAGACACAAGTCTGCGCGTTTACCGCAAAAAAGACGCCGTTTGTCGTATCTCCTCACTTTCAGGGCAACTTCCCTTGATAAAAAGATTTCTTCAAGTCTAGGAATTCTGGGCGTTGATATATCTTGCGACGTCCATGCGGTCATCTGGAGGAGAAGGCTAAGATATCTTCCAAAAAGTTAGGAGTACTCAATAGGGTGAGACGATATTTCATGCCAGAACACCGCCTGAAATTATATAAAGCCCAAGTCAGGCCGCATATGGAATACTGTTCTCACCTGTGGGCAGGAGCGCCACAGTACCACTCCTTCCGTTAGACCGCATTCAAAGTATTCGAAATCGATAGTCAACGCCTTACAAACGTCTCTGTGCATCTTCTACCGAATTTATCATGGGGAGTGTTTTGCTGATTTTCACCACCGTACAACCCGCCACAAACTAAAGTTTCATCCCAATCATCTGGACGAGTGGCGGTCTTCCACCGTGCGTTTTTCAAGGCACTTTCTTCCACGCACAACCATTCTTTGGAATCAACTTCCAGCAGCAGTATTTCCGAACCGATACGACAACATAACCTTCAAGAAAAGAGTATATTCCTTTTTAAAAGGCCGGCAGCACACCTGCAATGCCGCTGGTGTTGTGGGTGATCATGGGCGGCGGTAGTCACTTACCATCAGGTGAGCCGCATGCTCGTTTGCCCCCTGTGTTGTAAAAAAAAAAAAAAAAAAATAAAAAGTAACCTGTGTCCATCTTACTTCAAATACTATATATTTGTTAAATTTTAGGACCCCTATTCTTCAATGTCTTGATCAATGATATTATGCAAAATATTAAGCATAGAATAGAATAGAATAGAAATCATTTATTCAAATAAACTTACATTGAAGCACTTTTGAATAGTCATTACATTTTTTTTAATCTACCGCTCGTTCGGAAAGCTGTCTCATCACAAGAAGAACGAGCAAGAAACTTGCGTGTTGCTCTTTTAAATATGTATTCATAGTAATGGATTCCTCTTTTCTGATGATTTTGAAATAATGAAGATAATAACAAAACCCTCAGATGTGGAATGTTTTCAGAAAGACATCAATTACCTAACCAAATGGTGTAATAATAACAAAATGTATTTAAATACTTAAAAATGTCATCACATAAACTTTACATATGTCTGTAGCCTATTTCATCGTTTTAGAATTACAAGAAATATTAAAACCTACAGAGACAAAATTAAACTTGTTCACCTTCAGGAAATATGTTTCCACAGATCTTATCTTGACATGTCATATCTTCACAAGTTAGTAAATAATCACATTGATTGTCCACCTCTACTGGAGAAACTTGTATATAATGTACTTACTAGAGTGCCCCGTCATCCTTGCAATCTATTAAAAAATGCAGCTTGCAGAACAAACTTGGGTTGCAAATCACCTATTGTCTATATAACACACCTGTATAATGATATTGTCAAAACTAAGCCTGAACTTGATATTCATTTTGACAGTCACTCTATGTTCATGTCTAAATTAAAAAGTTGATGTACCTCGCCATTATGTTTTGTTTTATTTTTAATGTAATTTAAGTAAATTAATGTTTTTTGTAATTTGATGCCATTTAATTCTATTGTAATAATTTAATTCTATTTTAATATTTCTTAAACACAAAGCATGCTGTGCTTTCCTTTAAATGTAAGAACAGTTAGCCATAATCCACTAGTGTAATATACAGAAACATTTTGCTGTATCTTACGTTGGTGATTCTAAATAAATAAATAAATAATTTCACAAGTGTTTGAGCTATTGAGACTACAAAATGTATTTATATATACAACAGAGGATGACACTCTCAAATAAATAATAATAGTAAAATTATGATAGATATAATATAAGATAATAAAGAACAACACTATAATCAATCACATTGGAGTCAATTGTAAGGCACCATTTCTCTAAACCTATCTCTTAACTTGATATTGAATTTAATAGTTTCATAAAATAACTGTTTTATGAAGCATCATAAACTAAACTTATAATAATTTTGACTTAAATGTATTAGAAATTTAGTTGATAAAATAAAAATTTTGCTGTAATATATATTGATTTTAATTATAGAAATAGGCCATATGTTTAGAGTAATAGTACCATAGAATCATTCCTAATACCTAACACAATTCTAAGTTATGTATGTTAGTGTAATTCTATAATTTCCAGAATAATATGAAAAAAACAGAAATATAAAAAAGTTAATTCGGAAGTTATTATCAACCTGGGGTTAATAGCAGGGGAAATGTTCTAATAGTACATTGTTCAGTTATGGTAAAAGATATTGGCATCTTTGGGAAAAGATTTCGACTTTTCTAAATATATATTGATTTTCTAAATTATCTATATGTGAGTTTGTATTTCTGTTTCTGTATATATATATTATTCAATATTCAATTTATTATCCAATGTTGACTTACCACTTTCTGATAAATTCAGTACCGACGGTAAAAGTTTGTCGGCATCTGTTAGATCTTTAATTGAGAAAATAGAATGTGAAACATCTATCTTTTCATTCTCGTTAGCAGATATTTGAGATTTTAATTTACTGTAAAGAGATGGGGTAGGTTTCTTCTTTTTTCCATGTTTTGTTTTAATATGTTTACGTTTTGTGTTTATAAATTCATCTCCTGAAGATACATGATATTCTGCCTCCTCATCCGTACTAGATTCTACATCTGATATTTTTGCTTCGGAACCAGAATCACTAAAGTGTTCGCATTCTTCTTCACTGTTTTCATCCTTATAAATCGTTTTATTTACTTTCTTTCGTGTAGTAGGCATTATATGATTAGCAAGTAGCTAGGTTAATTGATTTTGCCAATATTTAGTACATACAAACGTACAGAATATAATTTGTACAGAAAAACACAGTTCCAAGAGTTAAAGAAATAAAAACAAATTGGCGCAGTTTCCAATGTCACTTTGACACTTGATATTATTGCCAGATATAATATTTCATTTCTCCCCAAATTTAAAATTCTATCATATCCTCACCTACATCAGCACTGTAATCGCCTATGCGGCACTCTGCCTTCGTAAAAGGGTCCAGATATTACAAAATAAATCCTTTCGACGAGCCACTGACGTATCATGTTACGTCTGCAATGTAATTCTCCACCGATTTTTCATACTCCCCATTATACAACATTTTATGAAGAAAAACATTTAAACCAGCGATTCCTAAAGTGATTTCCGCGTAACCAAGGGGTTCGGTAAAAAAGTCAACAGGGTTCCGCGAAATTGTTTATACAGTGAAACAATTTCATTTTTCACATTAAAAATTAAAGGACACTATAAAGTGTTATACTTTTAAAATATTTCTAATAAAAGCTTTTGTTTTTATTCAAATTACAGTGTTTTTATTTCTGATAGTTTGATATGGAGTGCCATAAAATAAAAGGTATTTGATGAGCGTTCCGTTATCTTAAAAGTTTAGAAATCCTTAATCTAAACACTACTTAAATTTCGCCCAATTGTATCCCAATTCCCCCATAGTTGGCACAGTCGATTATGTACTGGGGAGAAATATCCTACCACACCAGCGCCGCCCGAGTTCGATTAAAAAAAATGCCCTATTCGCATACGCATACTAGCTACTTTCTGCAATGGTCATCGGAGAAGCTCCTCAATATTTCCAAAATGCCTGTCAATCCTATGAAAGTGTGCTTAAACTTGTTTCCATACAAAACCTATAAAACACAAGGAATCCCATAGCATTCATAATATAAATTCAAAATATTACTGTAGAATATATTTTTAATTCAATTTTGAAAGTATTCCATATTTAAATGTCAATATTGTTTTATAAAAGGAATGGCTATTGGTATTTATATTTATAATGAATTGAACGCAAGAATAATTTTTGAACTTTTTCGATTACATCAATATATTTATGATAAAAGGGGTTCCAAATGGATAAAGCGTATTCCAGTTGAGACCGAATGAGATTTTTGAATAAATAAATGAGTGAAGAAATTTGTTTGAATACACGACATTACACGACATATCCGTATATTATAGATCTACACATTTGGAAACCTTCCCAATTATATTATCTATATACAGGTGGTGAGATGCAATTTATTGTTCAAAATGATTCCTTAGTCCTTAATTGAGTCAACAGTCTTGAGGCTTTCAACCAATAAGATGTATGTATAATAACTTACTTGAAAGTTATAGTTTTACATTTATTGATATTCAGTGATAATTTATTTACACAATAACCAAATAAGCGGTCTAAATCAGCTTGAAACTTATAATTGTCATCCAAACTATTTATTATGTGAAATATTTTTAAATCATCTATATACAATAAAAGTGGCAAAATGTAAAACATTGATTGAGCAATGTCATTGATAAAAAGTAAAAATAATAATGCCCACAAAATGGATTCTTGCGGAACTCTAGAAGTAACCGGAACATATTCTTATTCATAATCATTAATACCTTTTGTGTACGATTTGATATATAAGACTTAAACCAACGCCACAATAATTTGGTTTTAAAATAATGAAATTTCAATATAGGATTTGTAGTAAGCGATGAAAAAATTTTCATATCAAATGGGATTAAACAAAAGAATGCAGGATGATTATCATCAATCTGTATTAACGGTATAGGCACAGGAATTATTAAACTATTGTACACCTTAATAATAAGCGGGTCCAATATTCGATTATTTATATTAGGAAATTTATTTCATTATATGAAGTTAATTTCATACGTTTCACGTGATCTTCATTGGTATATTCTATGATTATAAATGCTCAAAGTATCAAAAATATTACCCAGTATTAAGAAAAAATATCCAATCTGGCAACAATAAATAATGAGTGTCAAGCAGTAAAAAATACGGTAGATAATGGCTAAAGGACAGGATTCCAAGTCTAAACCCCAATAAAAAAAAAAAAACAAATAAAAAAGATTACGCTGTCTTCAAATCTGATCTGTAAATAAATAGGATGATAGGGAGTGATCTGGAGTCATAGAGGTTGCGAAAATAGAAGATTGCGCAATAATTGCTCTTAAATTGTCATCTTTAATATTTCATATTATCTATAAGTAATTAGCGAATAACTGTTAGTGCTGCTTTTACAGAGCGATTTAGGAATTAAAATTACTATTTCGAATGATTTTTTTTACCACTTGAATAATTGACTATAAAATATTTTCTTTAGTAAGTACATTATAGGTACTCTATCTATCCTACAAATAATAATTTTATTAAGTAGGTACCTAGCCTAGAGCGAGTAATTAATCACCACGTTTTAGGCACTACAATGTAGTGAATACTTGCGTCAGGGGGCCACGTCCAATCAAACAAAAAAAATGTATATATATATATATATATATATATATATATATATATATATATATATATATATATATATATATATATATATAAAATTATTTAAACCAATAGTTACAAAATAATGTGGTTTTTTTATTTTTCTAAAAGTATTTCTACTAGGATAACATATTTTATAAATATTTAATAAAATTGCGCAATCTACAGATTTTTTTTTATGTGAAGGGGAAAACGTAATATGACTTTCCGGTGAAAATGTTTGTTTAGAATTTTTCTACGATTAGTTTAATAATTAACCTTTTTATAAAAAGAATAATTTTGAATAATTTTTAGTATGAAGTTTGAACGAAGTCTGTCTGAAAAAATAGTACTAGACAAGTTTGGAACATTATTATTAAAACTTCTACATTTCATAACGATTCTAAAACTCTAAAGTACTGGTGTCTAAAAAAAAGATCTGGTAGAAAGAAATATTTAATTTAATCCAAATAAAATTATGGACATCCAAGAATTGAAAAGTATAACTAATACGTGAATTTTGGCTGTTTTTGCAACTTCAATTCCATACAAATTCAGACTTGTTACTTGTACACATTTACAAAACTCCGTACTACGTGTAATAATGTTTTATAAGAGACGGGAATTTAGGTAAAGTATAATAAGACGCAGTAGACGCGATCATTTAGGTAAAGTATGATAAATAATTCTCCAATTATTTTTTAAAATTGACAGATATTTGCGACGTTTTCACATTATGCACAGGGACAGGTTTGTAAAAACTGAAACAGTGAATTCAGGCCATTATTTTGAACTAAAAAGAAGTAGAAGAATATTATGGCTGTGGTTCCTTTTTGGGTGGAAAAATAAACTGCCATCTGATTCATTTGAATTGAGCTGTTTTCATTTTGGCCAACCTATCTGTTCCACCCTGTACGTATATAAACATATATTTAATAATGGAGTGATATAATATGTGATCTATGAAATTTATAAAGAGATATTATTAATACCATGCTTGATTTAAACATTTTACTGACTGATTTATGTAGGTATTTAATTTAACATTCGTTGCTGTGTATGATTTAAACTTTATATTTAAAAAGTGTGCGTAATAAATAAATTGGGGGTGAGGGAGAGGGAGCTTAATGTTAGTAATGGGGTCCACTAGTTCACACGGTTAGCAAGGCCAGGTCGACCTCCATACGGTTACCCCTGAATATTAACCTAATTCGTAGCAAATTCGTAACGAAAGGCCAACTGAAATGATTTCATTCTCTTCATTTCAACTTCCATTGATGTCCCGTCATCAGTTCCATATCATTAGTAAAGACGGGTACTACATTCCATCTTTCAACTTCTCTCATAAAAAAATTAAAAATAAATAGATATTTATTACAAACATGATTTTGGATTGATAAGTAGGTAATTTATAAATACGTATCCAATCTCGCTTCAACGACTCTTATTCCTTCGATTTCGATTTGCTAAAAGGTTTTATAATTTACCATAATGGAAAGGTTGTGTTTGTTTAAAGAATGGTAAATGGTTTGAATCAATCCCGTTAAGTGCTTTTCAACGGAGCTTTATTGCCTGTATAGCGATGTTGAGTGGATGAGCGGAGGTTCTCTGTACACTCTGCAGCCCATTGTCCTGTTGACTTTCCTTCTTACACATATGGACATCCGCTGTTTTGTTACTGCAAACTTATAGTTTCATACATTCTAATACTAAGTAGGTACGCACTGTGATTAACAATTAAACTATTTACATACATATTAAAAAGAAATAATCAGTTGAAATGCTAATAACAAGAGAAATCCTAATTTGGATCATTTTGAACGCCAATAATAAGAGCTAGGTAAATATATTTTTGTGCTCTGGAAAATAAATGTTTATGGATTATTATGGTATAGTAAATAAATTTTAAATCTAAACATTAAATTAAAAGAATGTGACAGAATGCAAATTGTGATGATTACGTTTATTAGGATTTTGTATTAATGTTTTAGGATTTTAAATTGGTTACTATATTATATTTTAATAACATCCCATTAATGGCTGAAAGTTTCTCCCCATTCAAAGAGGATATATTACTTCATTAAAAGCATTTTAGTCAGAGGGCTCGTGTAAGGTTGTAATATGCTTACGACTATAATCCCTAACAGTCATTTTGTCGACTATTGCCGTTGTGGAAAATGTACTGATTGTTGTACGAAAATTTAATGAAAATGTATTTAACAGCAACATTTAGATAAACATATTTTTAACACTAGTAACTACTCCATACAATAGACAACCACTTATTGCTCTCTTTCGAACGGATCCTACCCTCTCTATGACTTAAAATGACTTTTCGAAAACAGCACACTTTGCATTTAAGCAAGCATAAATGCTGACTTTTATGTAAGCGGTGACAACAACTGATCATGCCGTTTTTAACATACAGTTGTGTGTATAAACCGTAGACGTAGTATAACATATAATGTATAATCTATCATCATCGTCATCATATCTTTTTTTTAAATGATGATAATGGAATGGTTATCACGCCTGCGCTAACAGTATGCGCTGGCAAGGCACCAGTGTGGGATGATAGGTGAGGATAAAAA